AAACAAACAAACAAACACTTCAACGTCACTATTTTTCTTTAGTTCTGCAGCGTTAATAGGACACATTAATATTGTTGTACAGCGATGCTTTGACTTACACTGCTAAATTAGGGACGGCTAGCGCAGATAGCCCTAGTGTAGCTTTGCGCGAAATTCAAAAACAAACAAACAAACACTTCAACGTCACTATTTTTCTTTAGTTCTGCAGCGTTAATAGGACACATTAATATTGTTGTACAGCGATGCTTTGACTTCGCATCAACAGAGAACTTTCTATTCTAAGTATGCAAACGTTCATCCTATAGTTGGCATCTGTAAGTCTCGCAAGACTATAGATTAGACACCAAAAAAAAAAAAGTCTAATTGTTTAGGGCACTTTCTTGTACGAATATAGAGTCCTATTTGGAACAAGTACGCTCTGCTGCAGGTTGAGCAGGCAAAAGTTGTTCTTGGGCATGAAGGCTGTTGTGTTGAATTCTTTCTGATGGTGCTTTTTTTTCTACTGCTTGCTGGGCTATTTTCTTTTCGTTTTCTTTTATTGTTTTTCTCATGCCTTCCTTCACACAGCATTTTCCTGCTACTTTTTCCCAGTTGTCAACACAAGTTTCAAAAGTTTTCATATCCCTTTTGCAAACGTCCTTGTAGTGTAGATGGGGACGCCCAACTGATCTTTTTCCTGTCCCCAACTCCTGTCTTTGCGGTTTCTTTCATTCTTTAGCAGCAGTTTAAATCCCCTTTTATGTTTGTTCTCGATTTTGTTCAATTTATAACATTTCCCTTTATAGCTAAAAGTTATTTGTTTGTTTTTTTTCAATACGAGTGCAAACATCAGTTATTTGGTATTAGAACAAAATACAGAAATTTCTGCTAAACAATATATATCTAATAATTATGATTGGACTTCATCATTAGGTTCCTCAGTGCCTGTAAAGCGGGCGGTTTTAGTCAATGACATTGTTTTGGGGAAGATAATATTTTATGAGTTATTCTAAAATATTTTGCATTAAAGATGTTTCGTGAAACACAATCTTACGAATTTTAACGCTTCAACTGATAATGGTACTTATTATCTATATTTTTAAACTTTCTACTATAACCGTCTATTTTTAGTGTATAATGTTATAGCCTAGTCGTTCTAGCGTTTCTGCATAACCACTTCTTTCTTTTCAACTTTTTAGAGTGCCATACATCTTTTCCAACGAATAAATTTGAAACTCAGATATACTCCAGTATCAATTACTAGTACTGATCTTAAAGAGGTCAGTGTTTGTTTATTTGTTTCAAACACAAAACTGTAAATTCAGGAATCTGATTTATAAGCTCTCGGGTTTATCTTTGAGCCATTAGGATGCAAAAAGGAATAGTAAATGTCCCAGAAGAAATAATGACACTGGATCACTTTTACTTATTTACTTCAACTATTCAACAAATTATACGACATGTGTAGTCGAAATACGTACCTTTATCTCTGGATAAAGTTGTGCTAATTTTGGTTATCAGTATTTATTTTATTATTATTTTCCCAGAGAAAGATTATGAAGATGGTTTCTATAAATTGGATAAAAGTGCTATTTTTCATGAATGGTATACATTTAAAGCAAGTGAATATTATAACTCCATTCATGGTAAAGAATTGTAATTTTCATGTCAGTATTGGTGCTCATATTTTAGTTAATTTAAAAAAAAAGGAAACCTGTCGTATTTTTATTACAACTTGTCTCCTGAAAATCCATGGTTTGGATTGGAAAAATCTATACTAATTTTCTGGTTTCCAGGTAGTACCTTATCATTGTGTGATGTTTATTTATTCGATGGGAAAATCATCATGTTTTATGTAATTTAGTGACTGTAATATTTTTGTTATTGTGAAATTAAATACTACATTGTTATTTTGACAAATGTGTCAAGCTTTTTAATAATTTGGATATTAACTTGAAATATTTATTGGCCTATCTATCTTCAATATGGTTATATAATGCTATTAGAACTGTACTGAAAAATTAAGCTTGTTTATAGGCATTATTTTTGTTCCGCTTTTTGTATTGTAACATTGGAACTAAATATATATTGACAGAAACCGGAGTAGGGACCAGTATATAAAGTAAGCCAGGATGCTCGTTGAATATCCCAATAGCTTTCTCTCCAGATTATATTATGTACTTCATCAGATGTAACTCCTTCTTTTCACTGAAATGTCTGTTTGCGAAACGACCTTTCAGGTCAGCCCTTTGTACAGTGGAGTTAAAGTCGAAAGTATATTGAGAGTATATGTTTCCTAATAAAAGCAGATTTTACTGGAACGTCTTTCATGCTGTCCAAATAACTGTTAAACCTTAAAAGTAAAAGCATTTGAGCCTGACTGATGATTATTACCTCTTTGATTCTGTTCTTTGGAATGGTACCTTTTCACTGCAAATATCATTATAGGAAAACGATAAATAAATGATCAACGACAGCAACAACAAATTATTTCTTTGTTTTCGTTCAAAAGTAATTTCTTCTCTAGAAATAAAAATAATTGAATTTTTAGTATCCATTTTATAAAAAACAAATCTAATTTGTCAGGATTTCAGGATCCCATTTTTCACAAAAAAAAAAGAATGATTTAGATAACCAGAGAGACACGTAAAACTTTTCAGAATCCACATAAAAATGTCCTGTTAAGAAAAGGAACGACTTAGCTAACCTTGAACTTTATAAACTGAATCTTCTGCTGCTGTTAGTGTAGTAACAATAATTTGTTTGAATGAATATTTAGGAAAATGAAAATAATAGATCAGTATAGGGTCGTAAAAATGTTCAAGATGGACATAAAAAACGCTTTGTTGGAAGAAAAAATGAGGGTCTAAGCGTAACCCAGTGGTTAGTGTGCCAGACTGTGGATTTGCAGGTCCATCCTTCGCGTTTCGTTATCGCACAAAACAAAAGTCGCGCCCCGCACTTTGAGACCGTAGTTGTGTTATAACGGTGCAGGTGAAATCCCATTATTTGATCAGAGTTGGAGGTAGGTGCTGTTGACTAGCTACCTTCTATCTAGTCTATCAATTCAAGATTAGGGACGGCTAACGCGGATAGCCCTTAGGTAGCTTTGCTCGAATGTTCGAAAACACATAAATATTAAGA